TGGGATGTCCTTGGTTTAATTTCTGGGTTATTATTTAAATCTTTCTGATACAGTTGCACTTTAGCTTTTGAGTCTCTAATGCCTCATAGACATTCTTATTTTCATAATATCAGAGAAAACAACTCATTAAATTAATCACAATCTTTTATCCCAATTGATACATTGAGCAGCACAATAGGATAAAGCACAACTTGCAATTTGACTACTTGTGGTAGTCATTAATCTATCAGCTTTAAACAATGTGAAATAAATTAAAATCAAGAAGCAGCCCAAAATACGTTTGCAGTCAATACAATTTTCAATACCGCATCTTTACCATTTAGGATGGGGGCTTAGACAGTGTTAGTACCAGAGGAGTAGATAAGTGAAAGTATTGGAGGAGGTTTCAAGTGAATCCAGAATATTTATAATGACCATACAATTTTTACAAAACTATTGACTTCAAAAGGGGTAGACAGAGTGCAAGAGTAAGGACATGCATATTTGCCCTTAACAGTAACAGGGGCTCACTTTCCCTTGAAACTACTGACCCATGAGTGAGGTGAAATGACAGAAGAAAAGAACATAAAGAAAAAAAGAAAAAAATGTTAAAAGAAGAAGTCTGAGTTAGGGTAGGAGCAGGAATAGAAAGGGAGATGAGGCATAATATGGTGGAGCAAGAGACTGAGTCAGAGAAAGAGGACAGAAAAAAGAAATTGCAGGGTGGAGTGAGAAAAAGAAAGAAAAAAAAGTTTGAAGGGCCTCTTTTCTACTATGTCTCTGCTGTCCTAATATACCATTTGCACAGCCATGTGCAGATCCAGGTCCCCTGATCTCAGCTAGCCAATAGCAGATCCCCACGACTCAGACTGACCTCAGGCCACAAGGTCTGAGTTACCTGACCTGCAGGGTTGAACTCCACGCAGTTCTATTACAGGTTTCCACTGCCCTTTCTTTAAAGATGTTCAAAGTTGGGAGCTCAGAAAAATTCCCTTTATGACCACCTATGCCTCTGCAGAGTGGATCCAAGGACTGGCCCAATTAGGAGGTCTGAGTGGGAGGTTGTTGTGGGGGTTGTTTCAAGGGCACCTGCATGGCTACCTTCCTCACTGGGGCTGGTGGTAGAGCAGGCAGGGGATAGTGTCGATCTGCCTTATGGGCCCAAGCAGGTGGCAGGAGAGATCTCAGAGTGGCCTTCCTTGCTGGGGCTGGTGGCAGCTTTAGTAGTTGTTAAAGTATTTTCCTTATTAATAAAGAGATTTTTCTCTGCACACTGTCCACTAATTTGGTAGCGAGGAGAAAGTCTAGGGCAGGGGGACTATAGCTTTGCTCAATACTTATTTCTCCAGTGGGAAACTAATGTTTCGAGCTCCTTTGGCCAGTCTGCAGAAGATGAGAAAAATTAAGAGAGCAGGTCACACAGTTTGTAATAGCTAAAACTTGGAAACAGCCCATTTGCCCATCAGTTGGAAACTGGATAAAGAAGATGTGGTTTTTCTATAAAATGCAATATTACTCAGCCATAAAGAATGAGAAATTAGATTAATTCATAGGAAAATGGATACATATTGAGGATATACTCCTAAGGGACATAAATAAGTCACACATATGTAAATACTGAATAGTTTCTCTGGTGTGAAAAACTATAATTGTACATAAGATCCTAATGAGATAATTGACAATGTGAAATAGGAAGAAAAGGGCTAAAGGTGTAGGGGAAAAGAATTAATTCATAGGAAAATGGATACATATTGAGGATATACTCCTAAGGGACATAAATAAGTCACACATATGTAAATACTGAATAGTTTCTCTGGTGTGAAAAACTATAATTGTACATAAGATCCTAATGAGATAATTGACAATGTGAAATAGGAAGAAAAGGGCTAAAGGTGTAGGGAAAGTGGGAAGATAATAAGGGAAAAGAAAAAAATAGGAGAAAATGAAGCAATGGAAATAAAGTGTTTGTAAATGGAGAGGAGAGGAGGGGGTGAAGGGAGGGCAGAGACAAGGGGGGAAATGAGAACCAAGACCTGTCATGTAAAGGTACAAGATCCCAATAATGAAGGTAACTGTACCGTATACCTAAAATGTACCAATAAACTCAATTAAAAAAAAAAAGAGAGGAGGTGGTTGGGTCTGGTTGTGAGAATGTCTCATTTAAATGTTGCTTTCCTCTTAGTTCCAGAGTGCATGAAAGCAGGTTTAAAGTCTTAGGGTGGTGGAAAGAATTTAGGAATGAAGACACAGTGAAAGATATGGTGGAGAGTCCAAGGCATCTAGATAAGCAGGGAGCAGAGAGGAAGCAAAATAGGTTTGGAAAATCTTTGGGGGTTGACATTAAGCCAAGAATTTTGGGATCATGGGGTGTGGCCACAGAACAAATAGGCTAATTCTGGACAAATGGCCTAACCCAAGATCATCTAAACTGTTATCACTCAGTACTCAATATACTAGATGTCAGCAAACTGCAGACCACTATCCAGATAGTGCAGGCCAACTGCTTTTGTATATCTTGTATGTTAAGAATAGTGTTTTCAGGTGGGGGATTTAGCTCAGTGGTTCTGGTGCCTCCCTCACAAATGCAAAGACCTGAGTTCGATCCCCAGTACAAAAAAAAAAAAAAAAAAAAAAAAAAGTGTTATCATTTTTAAATGGTTGGAAAAGAATCAAATTCTTCTGTAACATTTACATATTTTATAAATATTCAATTTCATATAAATGAAGTGTTAGAACATGGTAACACCCATTCCTTTACATATTGTCTTTGGTTTCTTTCTTGCTGTAACTGCAGAGCTCAGCAGTTATGAAACAGATAATGTAGCCAGTAAAACCTATGAAATAGGATGTAAACCTTTGTAAGTAGTTTTCCCACTCTAAAATACAGCATCTTAGAAAGTAGCTTAGGGAGCAAAAAGACTGAAGAACCAAGCCATAAACTGAAAAGACTGAAATTAACTGCAAAGAAATGATTGATTTTGTGAATCCACTAGATTGAACTAGATTAAAGAAATGAGGATTAGTAATAAATTGCAGGTGATGTCAGTTCTGCCACATTCTCAGCAATTCCTCTCTGAGGTTTCCTTTGTTACAAGATGCCTCTGGGTCCTGAGAGAACTCAGTGCAGATTTACTCACACCTATGTAATTATACTTCACAAGTATCAAACACATCAAGATTTTGTTGTAACCCAAGTTTATGAAACCTCTAGGCAAAATTGTAAGATATATACAATAAAATATATATGTAAATATATATGCTACATATGTAAATATATGTCTATATATAAATGAATATGTGTGTGTGTGTGTGTGTGTGTGTGTGTGTATTCTCTTTCTTTCTACTCCTGAATCTGTTGCTAACCCTATTTTCATGCCAAGGTATTAATAACCTCACTCATACTGTTTTATGATATCCTGTGTTACTCCTAGGTGTCCTCTCCTGTTCTCAATGAGAAAATGGAAAATCTCAGTTTCACTGAACTATAAATATCTTATAGTTATGGATATATTAGGTGTCCAGATTTTTAAGAATGTTTTTTTATTAATTTAAAGAGTAAGTTTTTGGTGGAAGAATTTAGGCAATCATATGCTTTTGCAATTCCAACTGTAGATTCATACTACATAGGTCACACATTCACACACAGCAGTTTAGTTTGTACAGAATCATGTATGTGTATGTGGTATTTCCTGTGAAATTTGCATTACTGCAATTTTAAGGCAGAGATATATAGATGTTGATTGAAGATACATCTGAATTTTACATCAACAAAAAAAGAATAGAGAAATAATCACCAGTACCTTAACTTTAATCTTGAACTTAAATGTTAATATTGACTAAAAATTATCATTTCACTTATTAGTTAAAAATAATCATGCCACTTACCTTCTTCACTGACATGTATTTTCAGTGCTAAGTAAAAATTTTACTTTACTAATCCTTATAAGTAACTTTGTGAGCAGGTATTAATCTCAGTTTTTAAAATGTATATAGTAGTACTAATCAATATAATCACTTCCCCCTCAAAATTGTGTAACTTATTAGTGATAAAAACCATTAAGCTTTAGTCTGTATAATTTAAAACTTACACATTTATGTTAAGAATAAAGTTAAAATCCTAACTAGTTTTCCTGCTTTATATGTTTGAAGTATATTATTGAATATCATTCAAGTTTTATTGCATGTGTTTAACAATTGTTGCTTTCTGTCTATATATCCTTAAAGATGTTTGCAGCCTATCCTTTTGTTTCTTTAACCCTCAAGGTTGAATGAGCCAGTTTAGCCATGCCAGTATTCTTCTTGGTAAAAGAGACATGGCAAAGTAACAACTGATTCTGCAGAGTTAACCTTGAAGTTATGTGATGTTAAATCAGTCTGACTTAGACATGTTTTTTCACCCCCAAGTTCCCTTTTATTCTGTCATACACTTTGCTGTCAAACTAAATGATGCATTTAAATAGAATGACCAAAGATAATGACTAACACAAGGGAGAGACCAATACAATTGCTGCTGTAATGTCACTTGGATCTGAATGACCCTGTTGCATTAAAGTCATGATATAAAGGGTGTCAAGTTATGGTAACCTACCACTATTTCTCAGCCAGATAATGGAAGTTTATAGTGGGATGGAATTTTAAAAAAGTTTTGCAAAGGTACGTATTTGTTGTAAGATAGGCTCAGGATTGATTATAATATTCATTTGAAGAAGAACGAACAGTATACTATAGTTGATCATTAAACTGAATGATTTAATATATGTTTCATTCCGGAGCTATATATTATGGAAAAACATAGAAAAATTAGCTTGGATACACTGTGAAATAAAGATCAATTCATCAGATATTTATTTCAAAGATTAAATTGAATTTTTGTAGTAGAAAAATTCAATTGCATATCTTCCAGACTAATAGCTAATAGTGAATCTTATCTCTTCCAGATTAATAGTGAATCTTATCTCTCCTGTGTCCTTTGCTTCCTCTCTTCCTTTTTTCTGTCTTTCTCTCCCTCCCTACAGGGTGAAGAGCACAGAGACTAGTATTGTCATGAAACAGGGTCCAAAGATGTTCCCAAGGCAGAGATGTAGAACCTAAACCTACCCTACCGGAGAAATCAGTTGCAGGTAAGCTGACTTCAGTCATGGCAAAACAATTTTTAGGATGCATTAGTAAGAGGTATAAAGGGGATTTAATAGGTAAAATTTGAAAGTACACAGTCAAAGAATTAGAGTGCAGGCCCTCAACAAGAGAGAGGTATGCTACAGTGTGGAGCAGGGAATCTTAATATCTCTTTGGTGGTCGAATGTTTGAATCTATAGAAAGTTTCTTCTTGTTTTTTTTTTTTTTTTTTTTTTTTTTT